TTGGATTTTATTTTAGACAGGACCACGTGGAATTATAATTTGATCTTTTCTCATCCTGCAAATACAGTTAATCTCATGTTCTTCATTTTAAATTAGAACACAGGACTTTTCTTTCAACTGGCATCTCAAAACTAAGAATCAGGGCCCAGCGCAATAGCCTAGCAGCCAACGCCCTCGTCTTGAAAGCACCTGGTGTATCAATTCTAATCTCAGTAGCCCTGCTTCCCATCCAGCTCCCTGCTTGTGGCCTGGGAGCGCAGCTGAGGATGGCCCAAAGCCTTGGGACCCTACAGCCACTTGGGAGACCTGGAAGAGGCTCCAGGCTCCCAGCTTCAGATTGGCTCAGCTCCAGACATTGTGGCTGTTTAGGGAGCGAATCCATGGACCGAAGATCTTCCTCTCTTTCTTTCAGCCTCTCTGTCTATATGCCTTTCCAATAAAACAAATGAAAAAAAAAAAAGCTTAAAGGAGGCAAGAAACTTGTGCTAAGAAAGGAACATGAGTAGTTTTCTCTTTGTTTACTTATTTCCCCTAAGACTGTTAACTCATTCATGACCTCTCCGGGGGGCAAGATAGAGCAAATAAATAAGGAGCATAAAAATTCTGACCGGCCTGGTACTATCCTAACATGAATAAGATCCTACCAGGCGCTTTCATCCTGTTTCCTGTGGGTTCTTTGGCGAACTCCCTTCGCTGAGCCCTTCACCTCCATCCTTGCCCAAGAGGGAATTCATTTCACTACCTCAGGTCCCAGGAACTACAGACAGGTTCTGCTTTTTTTCTGCAGAAGCATCCGCTCATTTCCAGGAGATGAGCGACATGACCTCATGTTGGCTGAGGGCTTTGAGTGACCTATGCTGGTCCGTGGGAAACACTCATTTTTCATTCTAACAAATTCTGGGAGTACAGGCGAATCCCAGTGCAGCTGCCCCTGTCCTGACTTGCCTGTCAGCAGCTAGACATTGCTATCAGACCCTTTACACAATTCAGGCAGCAGTCAGGCGCTGGGCAGCTCTGTACCCCAACTCCAGGCGACTTCTGCTCAGATCACTGCACGATCCCATTCTCAGAGAGATCGTTACAGGGGAAGAGCCTCGTGAGAACACTTGTCAACTTCATCCTTCACGCTTTCAGACCTTCGACATAGCTGACATGTCAAGGAGTTCTTCCCCACCTCTTAGCTTCCCATCTGGCAACTTCACCATAATCTCCCTTAAGGTGCATTTTTACATTTGCGCCTTTCAAAAATAGAAGTCAAGAGGATAGTAAGGAGAGGGAAAATTTTAAAAGCTAATTCATCCAATCTTAGGTCAAAAGTAAAGAAACACAAAAACCCAAACTTACTTAAATCATGTTAGCAACCAATCAGGAAAGAAAATGGTTGTCAAAACAAACAAGTTGTATGTTTTTGAAAAGAATTACTGTCTGACCACATGAAAGATAAGCATATTTTTCAGTACACATTACTTTCAAAAGGAAATGACTTTTCACATTTTCTATGAATGAGTTTCTTTTCTGAATTCTGTGAAAGAAGGTCAAACTTCAAACCGAGTTTAAATGTGTTAATTTAAAACTCCATAAATGGGGTCTGACTCAGTAGCCTAATGGCTAAATGCCTTGCCTAGCTCATGCAGGGATCCCATATGGGCGCCAGTTCTAATTCAGCTCCCTGCTTGTGGCCTGGGAAAGCAGTGGAGGATGGTCTAAAACCTTGGACCCTGCACCTGTGTGGGAGACCTGGAGGAGGTTCCTGGTTCCTGGCTTTGGATCGGCATAGCATGGGCCGTTGCGCTCACTTGGGGAGTGAATCGTCGGACAGAAGATCTTTCTCACTGTCTCTCCTCCTCTCTGTATATCTGCCTTTCCAATAAAAATAAATAAATCTTTTTTAAAAATGAGATGTTTACAGTTGTTTTAAGAGTGTTATTGGTTTTTGGAAAGAACAGATCAGATAAAAAGGTAAAATGAAATGAACAAAGCAGGTTGAAGAACGGAGAGCACAGCATGGGGAAGCAATGAGAGAGCACAGCAGTGAGCAAGCACTTTCATTCCAGTTGTGTGAAGGAAGACAGAGTGTAACACACAGAAGCCTGCCATGGTTTAGCCACCGGGCTTCCTGGAAAAACAATCAACATGATTGAAAAAAAGATAAAGACCTGCTCTTAGGACTGTTAGGGAATTGGCTCAGCTCTGAAACTTCCCCAGAAGCAGAGCCTTGGAACCGCAATGCAATTGGGGAGGTGCGTATTCTGATCTATCATCAACAAAGAAGGTAACCATCTCTGTTTCTAAACAAAAGATGGACTCCCAACAAAACTGTTGATTGTATCTTGACAATAGGATGCTGGACTCTCTGCCATTGTCCATACCTCCAAGGCTGGGATAGCAGAATGACGGACTTAGGACTATTAGTCCTTTGAGAAGGACTATACTGCTGTAATAATGTGGAGGAAATAAGTATTGGAGATGGGGTTTGGGGAGGAGGGCAAGAAAATCCCACAGACTATGGAACTACATCATAAAATAATAAAATTAAAACATTAAAAAAAAACAAATAATGTGACCTGCAACAAATCACATAGCCTGCTATAGCCCTTCCTCAGTTGAGTTTTGGGGCTCAATGATCTTTCAGATTCCTTGGGGGTTTAGCTTCATGATTCTATAAACGACAAAAAGAGTCCATGCAGAAGACGTGCCACAAGAAAGAATAAGTCGAGTTTCTGGGGTGTTCTTTGGGGATGCAGGCTGCTGCATACCTCCGGTGCGGCAGGGAAACAAAGACTATTTCCTCTCAACCTTCAGCGCACAGTTGAGAAGGTCAACTGCAGGTGAACAGTTGCATACAGGAGCAGTTACACTCTGCAATCTTTAACAGTCTATCTTAAAAAGTGACTTTATACTGATTTTGAGAAGTCCTCTATTATCCAGTAAAAATAACCTTAACCTTCAAACTGCTCTATGCAGAGACTCACTCAGTCTTAGATCATAAAATCATGATATTTGGGGCCCGGCGTGGTGGCGCAAGTGGTTAAAGGCCTTGCTGTGCACGCCCAGGATCCTATATGGGCGCCTGTTCTAATCCCGGCAGCCCTGCTTCCCTTCCAGCTCCCTGCCTGTGGCCCGGGAAAGCAGTCGAGGACGGCCCAAAGCTCTGGGACCCTGCACCCGCGTGGGAGACCCAGAGGAGGCTCCTGGCTCTGGATCGGCATAGCATCGGCCGTTGCGCTCACTTGGGGAGTGAATCATCGGACGGAAAACCTTCCTCTCTGTCTCTCCTCTCTGTATATCCGCCTTTCCAATAAAAAAATTATAATAAACATAAATCTTTAAAAAAAAAAAAAGCATGACATTTGAGGGCTAGTGCAGTGTCAGAGCCTGCTAATCCTCTGCCTATGGTGCCAGCATCCTATCTGAGTGCAGGTGTCCACCCTGGATGCTATAATTCTGATCCAGATCTCTGCTTAGGGCCTAAGAAAGCATCAGGGGATGGCACAAGTCCTTGGTCCCCTGCACCTAAGGAAGCGCCTGGCTCCTGATTGGTTCAGCACTGGTCTGGCTGTTGGCAGCCATTTGGGAGTGAATCAGCAGATAGATGAAAAATCTCTCTCTAAAATCAGCCTTTCAAATAAAAATAAATTTATCTTATGAAATAGGACATGTCGCTTTGATAAGAGGATTGAGTTCTAATTTGAAATCTTCAACTGCTTATCCTTTGGTGATAGCGGGCAGGGATGGGACAAAACCATGAATCATAGTACTTCAAAAACTTTGGAGCAGATGAAACTAAAACATAAATTTATTCAGGGGCAATACATTAAAAAAACATAAACTTTTAATAATTTTCCATCAACTTTTGAAGACCCCTCATATGCATGAATTTCGAACATTTTTACACCAAAACAAACTTACATTTTGTTTGCACTTTCCATGTGCTTTCCCTGTGTCTGTGCACTATGCATGTGAGTGATCTTTAAAACATTTATAGAGAGTGAGTAAATATGAAAAAAAACTGCATGGATTTACATTTTTACATCAAAATAAACATGCTTTGATTCCATGATCTATGGATGGTCTGAAGTACATATATATATATGTATATATGATGTGTGTAATATGTTTGGTATGATATAAACACTTATGAAGTGAGACAGCTTTTTCAACACCTCAAACATTTCTCTATGGCAGGGTTCTCAGGAGGAAAAGGGAAGAATACTGGATTGCCCCCACCATGTCCTGAAGCCCCCTACGCTCTCCTGCAGTTGTTGAAGCTTACAATAGCCTGTGAGTCTGATTATAATTTTAACACTTGCTTTCTGGCTACTGTTCACTTCAGTATCTTACTTGCCAATTACACATTATATCTGCTCAAGATTTTAAGCCATGTGACCATAAAAGTTGAATAAACATTGAAATAACTAAATGCAAATGAGTATCCAAAATGAGAGCGCTGTATGAGAAATGTCTTTTTATTATGTGGCGATAAGAAAACATATTTAGGAAAAGATACAAAGAAAAAAACACAACTCTTGGCTTCTTCTGCAACTGGAGCATGGAACATTTGTTTTTCATTAAGGAAGGAAATAATTTATCTGAAGAAAGCAGACTTTATGTATTACCTTGTGGTCAGTTATTTTTATATGAGAAAGTTAAAATGTGATGAGCTCCTTAGAATAGCAGGTGATCTCTACAGAGTTTGAAACCTTTCTCTCGACATTGTTGCACTTATTTTGAAATTAAAAATCAACTAAAGCATTAATTTAAAGGGATTGATAAGGGATATTTTCTCAGAGTGCTGAAAATGGCAGGTTTCATATTATTCTGTGTTTGGAAAAGTAACAATGCCCAAGTAATATCTACTTTTAACAGGCATAAAAATAGGGATATAGATTATAATACTTATCCTTTGTTTTCATGGTATTAATTTTAAGAAATTCTTGTTTTCTTAAACCTTGTGTTTTTGTATCATTGTAACAACAAAATGAAAACTCAGAGCCACGTACCTGTGTCTGTTTAGGACCAATATCCATCCTTTCAATCAGGTCATTTAAGAAATGCGTAACGCTTTCCCAGGGATAAATACTGTTGGAACCATCCAGTACTATGACTATGTCCAGCTGAGTGCCGCATTCTGCAATGAAAGGAGTCAATCGTGCAAAGTTGGAATCTACCTTTTAAAATACGTATGGAGTGTTTCATGCCTGAAAGAGGCTAATTTTTAAAACATCGCTGACATTTTACAAAGTAGATACATTCCTTTTATAATTTAAAAAAAAAGAGATTTAGAAAAGTAATGTGTTGGGATTTTTAGCAAATAAAGCCCATCTCTACTGATTTTACTTAATGATGTACGAGGCATATGTCTGGGTATTTTCTTCAAATGAATTTTATGTAACATTTCTCATTCTGCACATATCTGATTTGAAGTTTTCTCAAAGACACTCATGCTTCGAGTAACAGCAAGGCAGCAGTTTCAGCAGTGAAGTGTAAACACGACTCTGTAAAGGTTGTTCTAACTAATATCAATTCCAGACATAGCAGTGAGGCTTGGTTATATACTGGCAAAGCAAACAATTACCTAACTTGGTAATGCTGGAAGCCAAGAAAATACCTCAAGCTTTTTGGTATGCTCCTGTGTATACACAGGTCTCATTCACTGTTTATGCTTTTCCAAACATGCAAGAACATTGCATAAAATCTGTACCTTGAACAGGGGCGAAAGAGTTGATGACTTGAAACGTGGGGCTGACGTCGGAGCAGATTCCTGTTGTGTAATGCACATGTCCACATCTATAGGCATATAAAGGCCCACACGCCTTAAAAAAAGGATGTACAATTACATAGAATATATTGTAAGATCTTAAAATGATACCGTTTGTGTAGTCATTCAACATCATTCTTTCCTTTTCTTCCTTACCAGAAACCCTCCGTTTGGGTTGGTGACTAAAGTTGATCCAAATGTCATGTTCTCCTTGACTTCTGTGACATTGGCAATTGACGTATTAACTACAAAACAGAACAATATTTCATGAGCCTGAAGAGTTTCACAAGCAGAAATTAAGCGTCTTCTCATTAAAACATTCTATTTGCTCTGCTCATAGCATAGCACATTCTTCTTTGAGTTGAACTAAACAAGCTCCCAAGTATGATGAAGGAATATAATGAACACACAAAGCCGAGGGAGCTGGCTGCTGTCCCAGAATCTCTGTCTGTGTCACTGTTTCAAATAGTTTTGCTGAACTGTGAAAGAATGCAGATCAAGCAGGGTGATGAGAATGCGAGATCGCTTTTTACACGTTTGCTCATGAAAACAAATAAAATGTTTGGTCTCATCATGCTGAAGGTGTAATAGATTCTTAAATATGTTGTTTTAAATGACCAAAAGGAAGCATGTTTTTTGACAAGGATGAGAAAAATTAGTAAAGATAAAAAAAATGATTTTTTTTACCATGTCTCTAAAATCATAGACACATCATGAACATGACAAAGAAAATTGGAGAAGGAGGGCCCGGCTCCGTGGCTTAGCAGCTAAAGTCCTCGCCTTGAACGCACCAGGATCCCACTTGGGCACCGGTTCCAGTCCCAGCAGCCCCACTTCCCATCCAACTTCCTGCTTGTGACCTAGGAAAGCAGTTGGGGGCGGCTCAGAGCCTTGGGACCCTGCACCTGTGTGGGAGACCCGGAAGCACTCCTGGATTCGGATCGGCAGCAAAAGCCGTTGTGGTCACTTGGGGAGTGAATCATTGCACAGAAGATATTTCTCTCTGTCTCTCCTCCTCTCTCTCTATATATCGATCTGACTTTGCAATTAAAAAAGGGGAAAAAAAGAAAGAAAATTGGAGAAGGATTAGAGCAGTAGCCAGAAACTTTGGATGAAAGACACATAGGGAAGGGTCTACATTTTCTATTCCAAATATAAATGTTAAGATCTGAGCCTTACCAATCTGACAAAATTGGCAAGAAATTCCACTAACTCATGTTAAAAAAAAAAGATTATTCAGGAAAAGCAAAAGCTGCTGAGCGTTGTTTCACAGGGTACTGAGAGATCTGAGAGAGGCAGTATTCAAGTTAAAGAATGACTCTGCCCTCATGGTTCATGCCTCCAGTGTTGTTACACTTCAATTCTACGTGGTTGAGATTTAGTGTTCAGCTTGGCCTCCTCATTGGCCATGGGTGTTTGTCCAAGATTTTCAGTGGACTGACTTTAGAACACCTGTTATAGGTGCTTTATACATACTGGTCTTGAATAACTCGTCTTAGAACTTTTATGCAAAAGGTAACCAGGGATCAACATCGCTCGGGGATGAGGGTACATAGCAGGGGTAGCCTTACTATTTGTGAGGTAGCTAAAATACACAGGCTTAGGAACTCTGTTCTACTTTCTTGTAGGATAAATGGGTCATTTAGGTAGTATATTTTAATCATATTAATTCTTCTGATTCATTTTACTGATGATTTCTTGCTTTATAATTTTCATTGTATATACAGATTTCATATCATTGGTTAGATTTATTTCTATATATTTTGGTCTTGTGGCATTGGAAATGAGATTTCTTTGTTGGTGAATTCATCATAATCATATAAACCATCGACTGCCTTGAATGTGTTGATCTTGCAATCTCTTACTTTACTGAGTCAGTTCTCAGTTCCAACAACCAGCTTTGGTGGAATGTTCAGATTTTTCCATGTCCAACATCACATCATGCCATCAGCAAACAAGGGTATTTTGACTTCCTTCTTTCCTATTTTGATGGTTCCTTTCTTCTTTATCCACCCAAATTGCTCTTGCTAATGCACCAATCAATGGAACAGATAGAGAGCCCATGAATCAATCAATGTGCACATACCCAAGGGTTCTTGATAACAGTATCCAGACCACACACTGGAGAAATGCTGCTGTATGCACGAGGACACAGTCCATTCTCTACCTTTTACCATGTGCAAAAATCAACTAAACCTGATTTTTAAATTTTAAAATTGATATTATGAAAATTATGGAAGAAAATGTAGGGCAAATACTTAAAGTGATTGGTGTCAGTTCAGCAATGATAACTGGATAAGACCCAAACGCACAGAAAATAAATACAAAACTAGACAAATAGGATTATAACAAACTCAGAGTTTTGGAATAGCAAAAAAAGGAATAGCATGAAATGACACCTGACAAAATGGGAAAAAAAACATTTTTAAGTTACTTATTTGACAAAGAATTAATATCCAAAATATAATGAGATATTATTCAGCTACAAAAACAGAATGGAATTCCATCATTTGCATATCATCAAAGTGATTTCAATAGTAAAGCATGATGTTAAATGAAATAAGCTAGACATAGACAAAATTGCACGTTCATCCTTACGTAAGCAAATTGCAACTAAAGGAAATAATAAAGATGAGAAAAGGTAAGAAAAGCTTATATGTGTCAGTTTTCTGGCAACTACAATGTTTTGGTCAGATTGCATTTTAAATCTCTGTCAAACGGCTGACAATGTTATACCTACTATAACAAGTGAGAACTCGATGTCCAGGTTCGGACTCCCTGAAATGCATGATCGCCACTTTCTCTCAAGTTCATCAGTTAGTGCTTCTATCAACTCAAGGGGTGAAAACGGTGTATTATGGTTTCAATTTGCTTTCCACGACAGTTAAGGAGATAGAGGACTTCTCATGTCCCCTGGGGCTTTGAGGATGCCTTTCTTTGACATGATGTTAAATACCATTTGCCTCTCATTCATATTTGCTATATTTAGTTGATGATTTGTGGTGTTCTAATTTGCTGATTTGTAACATGTCTTATTTTCACTGAGGTTGAAATGACTGAATGCTAGTGTCTTGGAATTAAACACATAGTAACTAATTTAAACATCTCTTCTTGCCCCAAAATATTAATTGGCTTATGTAAATTCCATGGTTTCTCATTAACTTATTTGCCTGACCTGAAATAAATATTTGTATTGCTTGCTTATTTAAAAAGCTAAAGCCATTCAGAGGCAAATAAAAGAATGTACAATCTCCACATTTAAAATGATTGAAAGTTACAGCATATAAAGTGGAATAGGAAAATGTGTCCAAATCTAGGGAAAAAAATAATCAATGAAAAGTGATATTGCCATTTATACCAAATTGAAAGAAATAGTTCCTATTTTACATTTTTTTTTGCATATGATAACTATAAACTTTTAGAAACAGAGGGAAAAACAAGTATGAAGCAACTACCTGAAGGCATTGGAAAGCAACTGAGACCAGGATGAGGCTGTAGGAGAGTAGGGACCTAAGGGAACTGACGGGCATTGGGTGAATTTCCTGGTTTTGTGCTTCGTTTGTTTCACTTTCCCCCTGTAGCTAAGGTCTCCTGCAGTGGCTAACACTCAAAACAGAAGCCCCAGGCTTACCGTCTGAAGGGACAGAGAACAGACACAAATGGGTGCACAATGGCAGCATATGCAAACTGAGCAAGGGTGTTTTGAGGAAAAGAGTTACATAAGGACAGTTCTAATATATGTACGCACATTCTGAACAAATGGCTGAAAAAAACCAGTGGTGACTGTGCAGAGTAGATTTTAAATATCTCAGCTGAAATAGCAAGAAGTAAATAGAGATTTTTATCTGCTTCTCATTGCAAAAAAAAAAGTCAGAATCCGGAAATTGAGTTCAGCCAAGTAAATTGCTTGCTAATTTAAAAAGCTAAGATTATTCAAAGGCACATGACAGAATGTAAAATCTCTATTAGAACGATCCGAAATTACAACATATAAAGTGAAAACTGTGACCAAACCTCAATGAAAAATCAATGGAAAATGATGATGTTTCCATATTCCAGATGAATTATCAAGCAAGAGTTCCTAAAGCAGCTATCATAAATATGTAAATGCTCATAATGAAAAATTAAGAAATTATAAAAAAAAAGTGCAACTTGAAAACACAATAGACTAGTGGGCTGTAAACCATTTTCATAACATTTGATATGACATGTTTTCTTATTATTTTGCTTTTAAGACATTATGCATTAGGGGCCAATATCAGGTTAAACTGCTACTTGAAATACCAGCATTCCATTTAAGCACTGGTTCGAGTTTCGGCAGCTCTACTTCTGATCCAATTCTAATAATACAGATGGGAAAGCATCAGAAGATGAGCCCCTGCCAGCCACGTGGGAGACCCAGGTTGAGACTCTGGCTCCTGGCTTAGGCCTGGCCCAGCTGCAGCCATTATGGCTACTGGGGGAGTGCACCAGTGGATGCAAGATCTTTCCCTTTCTTCTCTCTCTCTCTCTCTCTCTCTCTCTCTCTCTCTCTCTCACCCCGCTCCTCTCTGCATGTGTGTGTATATGTCTCTTTTCTCTCTCTAACTCCATCGTTCAAATAAAGAAATCTTTTAGAAAATCCAATGGTTAACACTAACTTAAACTTAGTGGAGGACATTTGATAGACAGGCTTATTTGGAAAATGTTTTCCATGGTATCCCTACAAAGTATCCTAACTGGAGAGTGAGATGTGCTGACTCTTGATCCAGGGGTGATCCATGATGACTTTATAAATCAAATCAGATGTACAGATCATTAAACTGCCATTTTATGTGAATTTGTATAAGTGAAGGATAATTATTATTTCTTCTCTCTTTTTATATAAGCCAAAAAGCTTTTTATTCAATCTGAATTATTCAGTGTCTCGTATTCTATTATAGCAACATGAAACAGACTCAGCAGTTACCTGAAATTCTCTGGCAGTAAGAACACCAAGCAAGTTAAGGATCAGACTTCATCTTTTTGATCTTACATACCTGGCAGATCCAATTTAATGCAAGGTAGTGATTCCCCTCTGCCAACTGGACACTTGTAGACATCTCCTGTCCTGTTTTGGGGTTGTCCAACTAAAGGAGAACCAATAAGCACCCTGTAATTTAAAAAAACAACTAAACTTTGGGGCAAGGAAAAATGTTAATCTTAGTTATTTTATTGTTAATTTTAATACACTAGATAGTAGTTTCCAAAGATGCAATCAGAAAAGCATATTCTCCTAGCAACGAATCAATAGGCTGTTTTCTCTAAATTCCAAATCGTCTCTTCAAGCAAACTAAGGAGAATTACACCAAAAAATTCAATGCATCCAGACTTCAAAAATTCACAGAAAATTTGCATTATCTTTGCAAAATCAGCCCCCCCACGCAGATACACAGTCAGCCACACACTTACCCATACACATGTTAATTCAAAAAGTTCATGGAAAGATTGTATTGATTTAGTTTCTACAGCAGAATAAACTTATAGTTTAGTTTTCTAAAATATTTATGAAGTCCCTCATATCTGAGGATAAGCATATATCTCAGAAATTTTGCTATATTTTTTAGTCTTTTTTATCATATTTTATCTACTTGTTGAAATAATAAATAAATGGTGCACAGATGTGTTACTGCGTTAGTGTACAAACATGGAGTAGAAATGACTTTTTCCCAGGAGAAACGAATAATTTCACACATGTCATCAAGTACAGATATTAGATCATTTAATATTTAATACTGGTATGGAAGAGTTTATAAATACATAGAAATAAACTAGATGCTACACATTAATTAAATGCTACACATATTAGCGAACATAGATGTATCGTAGTATCCTACAATAATAAACATTAACGTCTCATGAGAACTGATGTAAATTATTTCCCCGCATAATCAGTACAGAACATGGGAAACCTCACTTAATGGGAGTTCATGTGAAAGAACCACGCAGGATTTAGTTGACAGAATATAATCATGAGACAGTCGTGTATTTTTCTGCCAGAAATGCTAATGTGACCTTAGCTTGCATTGCTGAAAATAGATGCCCTGGTCAAGGCAAGTGATAGCCTCTCTGTGATCTGCACTGGTCAGGCCATGTCTGGAATCTCCAAATTAAGAGGGACATAGGCACAAAGGAATGTATTTAGGAGACTCTGACTCCAACGATGAAGAGTCTGGCCATGTTGTCAGACAAGAAATGCTTCAAGGCTTGTTTAGCACGGAGAAAGAATGCCTAAAACACAGCTGAAAAGTTGTACAGAGGTGCAAGGGGGGGGGTAGTTAGTTTTGCTGTTGTTGTTGTTTATAAAAATTTAAGTAGTTGAAAATCTGTCATATGAAAGAGCATGAGACTCCTTTTGTGAAGCCTTTTAGGCAAACTAGTTCTAATGGAAATCAACTTCATAACAATGGTAGATACTGAATTATTGGACAAACTCCCTAAAATATAGCTTCAGTAAAATGCCTCTGCAAAGCAATTTCTGGTATGCATTAAGAACTATAAAGATGTTCAAATCTCTTAATGCGTAATTCTTACTTCTGGGAATCTATTCTAAACTGTGCCCTAAAGTAAGGGGAAAAAAGTTTAACGTACAAAGATACTGCTTATGATATTACATACAATAAAATATTTTTAAATGCAAGAACAAATTAATTATTATAGGATTATTCTCGTATTGCTTATGAGCATATTATATTCTATAAAATATTTTATTGCTATATTGCATTCTATAAAATATTAATAAGATTGTGTGATAGGATGAAAAATTAGTGGAAATCTAACTCAATGGAAACCTGTGGGTCCAGCATTAATTAGCACTTGTGACACTAGCATCCAACATGAGTGCCTGTTTGAGTTCCAGCAGTTCCACTTCTGATCCAGCTGCTTGCCCACATGCCTGTGAAAGCTGCAGAAGGTGAGCCAAGCACTTTGGCCTTGCCACCTATGTGGGAGTCCCAGCTGGATTTCCATCACCTTGGCTTTAGTCTGACCTATCTCCAACCCTTGTGGACATCTGTGGAATGAACCAGTGGATGCAAGATGTCCCTTCCTCCCTCCCTTTCTTTCTCTCTCTCTCTCTGTCTTCCTTTTTTCCTCTTTCTCTGGGTAACTCTGGCTTTAAATTAAATAAATAAACTTTTGAAATAATTTTAACAATAAAAGTTTGTGACCTAATTTAAAGTGAATGATACAAAATAATTGCGGATGCCATATCTCAGACCACTCTGGACTACAGGCTCGGGGTTTTAGCTCTGGCAACCTAGTGGTTGCAGTTGGCAGAACCTGGGCAGCACACTCTGGGGACTCAGGGGTATGGACTGACATTTCGTCTGGAGGATGGCACAGATGGGGACAAGCAGGGACCTGAGGGTTTATGTCCAGGTGGGGAATGACTCCTGGGGGACTTCGTGGACAAGGCCACTGTACTTGTAGGGCTAGATCATGGAAACCACCAATGAGAATCGAAAGGACCAAGTAATGTGAGGCTGGGCCATAACACTAACCAGCGTATGATTCGGGTCTGAGTGTAGACTCTATGGGCAAGTATGTGGGCTCACCCATGAGGAACAGCAATCTCCCTTGGCACATGCAAAACATTCAGTATATAAGTAATCTTAGCTTGAGTTCTCCCAAAGACAGACCCAAGACAAAGATGGTGATGCGGAGGCTGGGGGGTGTTTCTGGAGGCAGTTCCAAGAATCCCCAAATGTGGAGATGGAAGAAATGACAGAGAAAAGCCCAGGAAAGATATTGGCCAGAAATGACAGAAGAAAAGCTGACAATGACTTACTTCTGCAGGTAAATGGACTCAGTCTTATTGTAGGGAAACATCTCAGAAATCATGTGGAATGTGAGCATGTGATGAGCACAGTTGAGGCCTCAAAGGCAAAAATTATTACCATGAGAGAGCATGGAGTATGAGGAGAGCCGAAGGCTGATGGATGGCAGTAATGAACATTTAGGAGTACATTTAATAAAGGAAAAAGCCAGGTAAATGTGATCAGAGGCAGGGGAGAAACAAGAAACAGTGATGTCCCTACATGCAAAGTAGAAATGAGCATCAACAATGGGAGGCCATGGCAGGCTCTTTGGCATGGGGCCTGGGACACAGGCATGCTGTATCTCTGCTCTGGTTTGAGCCCCGACTCTGACCCTGACTCTAGCTTCCATAACATGCGTCCTGACAGGCAGCAGGAGACAATTCAAGTAACAGGGCACCTGCAACCTACACGGGAGACCCAGCAGACTTTCTAGTTCCTGGCTTCAGCCTGAGGCGGTCCTGGCTGTTGCAGCTATTGGGAGGAATGAATCAATTGTCTGTCTGTCTCTCTCTCCCGTTAATATGAGGCAAGAATGTAAATCATGAGTGTATAGCAGATTCCATCTCAAGTAACTCAGCCAAGAAGGAGGGGAGGGGAAGCCATGCTACTAAATGACATAAACTTCTTTTTGTTCAGGGAAATGATAAACAGTTTAGGGCTTGAAGTAAGCTTAAGTTTGCAATAGAGTCAATCTGCTTATAATTAAATGGTGAGAAAGAATCAATAACATGAAGGTAGATGCCACAAATGAAGTCAGTTGGGTGGATATAGATGGATAGATCTAAAAATAAGAAAGGGACATCATTTTGTGATCAGAACTCTTAAGGCCTAGTATCAAGAGCTTGCCATTGTATCAGATACCATTCCATTAGGTTTGTCAACTGCAAATCTTTATAACATAATGTTGATTTAGCAGACATGCTCTTATTTTTTCTTCTCCTTCAATCTGGAATTCTTTGATAAATATAATGCCTCAGCTATAACACTATGACATCTGAAGCTAGATCTTACATATTCCATTTTATCTTTTGTTTTTGGGAATCTCAGACCATCATGCTATGAAGAAACAAACTGGCTTAAGAAAGATGAGAGATCCCATGAGGAAGTGATGCTTTAACAGCCTGTGAGCATGGTCTTCCAGTCATGTAGGACTTTCCAGTCCCATGAGAGGTACTGGGTGACTGCAATGATATGAATGAGTCAAAATAATGGAAAAACCACTATATTTGCAAAATATTGAGAAATGGTCAGTCATTGTTAAGTTCAGCCACTAAATGTTGGGGTTAACTTGATGACTAAAGCAATGACAGTTAACTAAAACAGGAAGAGAACATAATTTTAGCTTTTCTCTCCCACCCTTCCCTGTTGTTTTAATGGAAAATTGTAGCTGTACTCATCTATTGAGATTCAGTGGAGTGTCCGTAGCATGGTGGGTTTGTAGAAAGCAATTTATACTGACAAGGCATATGCAGTTCAGCCAGGTAGCTGCTTTGGCTAAGATGAGGTAGGTTGAAGTTGTCAGGGATATTTTGGAAGGATTTTCTATAGTAGATGGGAGATAAGTATGCAAGGTCCTTCCCACTTTTAGAATTCCATTGTTTGAACAGGACAAAGACAGGCATTTCGGGGAGAACTGACTAGTTGGAAAGCACATGCTCTTAACAAGGAACATCCAGTGCAAGAAAGGAGGAGCAAGTCCTAGAAAGCATGCTAATTAATAGTGAATAGTAACTCAAAAGACAAGTCATTTTTGTAGCTATGCCAGGGAAAAGTATAGACAAGAGGATGAAGACTGAAGACAGAGGACAGTGAAGATGTATGGGTGAATGGAACACGGAGTGAAGCTTCTATATACACTGGAGCAGACAGTTTGAGATTGGCAGAGCTGACTTTGGAGTTTACAGTTGCTTTAGGAAAACAGAAATACCCTTTGAGTGTCGTGGTAATTGAGGACTAAACTGATACATCAACTTGAACCATGGTCTATTGAATATTCTAGGATAAGTACAGAAAGTAGTGTGTGTTGTAGCATCAGGTTGAGGCATGGAGTTTGAGAGCTGGGAATCCATGGCAGGCAACGGATTACTGGGGCATAGATCATAAGACAATCCTGTGTTTTCCAGGAGCTGTTTGCTCTAACAGCGAGCACACAGTTTTTGGAAGGATATATATCTTACCATTTTAATCCTAAATAATCCTCACTTCTCCCAAGCTTCGTAAAAATGACAAGATCCAAGAAAAGTATCAGCATAGGGTTTATGGAATTTCAGGAATCTCCAGCATTCCTGATTCT